GGGGGGGGGGGGGGGGGGGGGGGGGGGGGGGGGGGGGGGGGGGGGGGGGGGGGGGGGGGGGGGGGGGGGGGGGGGGGGGGGGGGGGGGGGGGGGGGGGGGGGGGGGGGGGGGGGGGGGGGGGGGGGATTTGGTGGGATCCCACATCGATTGGAGAAAGGAACAAGTGCCAGCGAGAATGCTGTGCCCCGAAGGGAGGTGGATTGTGAGATCCTACATCGGTTGGGGAGGAGAACGGAACACCCTTTTTAAGGGTGTGGACTCCCTAGCCAACATGTTTTAAAATTTTTGAGGGAAAGTCCAAAGAGGACAATATCTGCTAGCGGTAGTCCTGGGCCGTTATTCTGGTAGACTTTTTGAACTTCATTTGGGATGTACCATGCAGGATGTTGGGAACTTGAGTTTTGATAAAGATGATCAGTTAGCTGTGGAGTTCGTCACGGCGGCTGCAAACATTAGAGCTGCATCTTTTGGTATTCCTATGCATAGCCTTTTCGAGTCTAAAGGTATTGCTGGTAATATTGTGCATGCTGTTGCAACGACGAATGCCATTATTGCTGGATTGATTGTTATCGAGGCGATTAAGGTGCTACAAAATGATTTAAACAAATACAGGTGTGTGTGGAGTTTCTTCATGTTGCTCTAAACAAAAAAATGGGATATTGTGCTTCAGAGATATTATGTTTTTGTAGATGCTTTATATTGTTATCTGGTTTATTGTTCTGTGCGTGTTCATCGTTTTACACGTCTCGATATTGTTATTTCATTTTTGTGGTGTGTTAATTCTGCTTATAACTTTTGCTTTGTGACACCATATTATGTGTAGTTCTATGTTCCATTGAACATGTTGTGAATCTTACATCGGTTGGAGAGGGGAACGAAGTATTTCTTGTAAAGATGTGGAAACCCTCCCCCTAATAGACGCGTTTTAGAAACCTTGAGGGAAAACCTAGAAGGGAAAGCTTCAAAGAGGACTTGCGCTATTACAAATGGTATCAGAGCCAGACACCGGGTGGTGTGCTAGCGAGGACGTTGGACCTCCCAGAGGGGTAGATTGTGAGATCCCACATCGGTGGGAGAGGGAACGAAGTACTTCTTGTAAAGATGTGGAAACCTCCCCTGGTAGACGTGTTTTAGAAACCTCGAGGGAAAACATAGAAGGGAAAGCCTCAAGGAGGACTTGGGCTGTTACAAATGGTATTAGAGCCAGACACCGAGTGATGTGCCAGCGAGGACGCTGGGCCTCCAAGAGGGGTAGATTGTGAGATCCCACATCGGTTGGAGAGGGGAACGAAGCATTCCTTGTAAGGGGTGTGGAAACCTCTCCCTAGTAGATATGTTTTAAAAACTTTGAGGGGATGCTCGGAAGGGAAAACCTAAAGAGGACCATATTTGCTAGCGGTGAGCTTGGGCTGTCACAAATGGTATCAGAGCCAGACATCGGGTTGTGGGCCAACGAGGACACTGTGCCTCCAAGCGAGTGGATTGTCAGATCCCACATCGGTTGGAGAGGGGAACGAAGTATTCCTTGTAAGGGTGTGGAAATCTCTCCCTAGTAGAAGTGTTTTAAAAACTTTGAAGGGAATCCCAGAAGGGAAAGTCCAAAGAGGACAATATCTACTAGTGGTCAACTTGGGATGTTATAAATGATATCAAAGCCGGACATCAGGCAGTGTGCCAGTGAGGACGTTAGGCCCCCATGGGGGGTGAATTGTGAGATCCCACGTCAGTTGGAGAGGGGAACGAAACATTCCTTGTAAGGGTGTGAAAACCTCTTCCTAGTAGACACGTTTTAAAAACCTTGAGGGGAAGCTCGGAAGGTAAAGCCTAAAAAGGACAATAATCTTAGCGGTGGGCTTGGACTTGGACTTGAGCTTGGGCTGTTACATGTTGTATTTTGGTGGTACTTTGAGGAGGCAAGAGAGACTATATTGAACTTGTTGTTTGTCTTCGGGTTCCCTTGAATCGAACCTTAACTTGAATATGCATGTAGGATGACGTATTGCCTCGAACACCCTTCGAGGAAGATGCTGCTCATGCCCGTGGAACCTTTTGAACCTAATAAATCCTGCTATGTTTGTTCTGAGGTACATTCAATAGCTATCACTCTCAAGTGTGTTATTCGTTTATTTTACGGAAGTTCACTGCAGATTTATACTTTCGTGCATATATTATGATGAAAACAGACACCGTTATCGCTCGAGATAAATACACGTCATGCAAAGCTGCGGGACTTTGTTGAGAAGATAGTCAAGGCCAAGCTTGGAATGAACTTTCCACTTATTATGCATGGAGCTTCCCTTCTTTATGAAGTTGGCGATGATCTTGACGAGGACATGGTGGCAAATTACGCTGCAAACCTCGAGAAGGTGTGATTTTATCGTGAAATGGATTAATCATTGGTCTTTGCTGTATGAAAATTCGAGTCCTTTCACACGTATTTCAGGTACTGTCTGAGCTTCCTTCACCTGTCGTTAGCGGGACGATATTATCCGTTGAGGATCTCCAGCAAGAGCTTAGCTGCAGTATCAACATCAAACATAGGTATTTCTGGATTTCGGATTAAATCATGCTGTGAAAGAAATGCAGATTACAAGAATCATATATATATATATATATATATATACACTGTGCAGAGACGAATTTGACGAGGAGAAGGAACCAGACGGTATGGTTCTATCTGGATGGCAGCAAACGACACTGGAAAAGGGTGATAGCAGCAAGACATTGTTGGGCAATGGAGAAAGCACCTCGAAGGCGTTGCCCTCGACAACAGATGCTAATAAGAACGATGACGCAGACATCGTTGCTTCTGGAACGAAAAGAAAACTGGACGAGGCATCTTCAGGTGTCGATGCATCAAGTTCAGCTAATGAAGCTAATAGCTTGAAGAAACTTGAAGTGCTCGACGACGACGACGACCTTGTCGTGCTCGATGATGATGGGGATCTGGTAACCAACAAGAAGAAAAGATTGCAGTAACAGGATCTTGGATTTAACCGAGGAATGCTAACATAATTTTGTTCTGTTAGGAAGAAATGGTGAGATTCATAGATCTTTGTGTAATCTTTTTGGAGTTAGATGAGCCTTCAATTGTGAGTTCAGATGTGTACCAAACTGATAGAATGTTATATTTCCAAGCATCAAATTTAGAAGCTCAAGTGATTGTAACACTAAACACAAGCCTCAAACTTGATAGTAAATCAATTAAATATAACTCAACGATTTCTTTCTTTGAGCGGTTGTCGTCTGTAAAGCTCCAAGTCCAAGATTCATATCAGGATTTGAAATTCAAATTTAGTATTTTATGAATTCTACTTGTCTTAAACCCTTTCAATGGACGGAGTGAAGCAATGCCAGGACAGGGAAGAACAGGAAATACAATCTCGGTTCCTTACTCTGTTTAGCTAATGGGAGAAATTTCTTCTGACTTTCTCTTAATTGTCAATGTAAACAAAGATTATCTATCAGTTTGGAACAATTCTCTACAAAGCCTCCGAGTTAAATAGACAAATTATCAAGATTTGAATCTTACATAATGCACGACACATCTTATAGCTTCAATCTCAGGTCGGTGTTCATTTTGGCAAACAACCCAGACACCCAAGAACAAAATACAACAATCAAGAACCAAACTTCCAAGAACACAGTAAGACAAACATCCACATCTAAATCATAAAAATACACAACCACAGAACCAGACAACACAACATTGTGCAAAATAAAGCTCCCACAATAATGGGACAACAGAAATCTCCTAAACTTCTTACTCACGAGCTTGAGCAGGTAGATGACGACGAGGTGATCGGTCGTGTTCCCAAACGAGCTGCGTCTGGCCAATGTCACCAGTACATTGGTGTTGCCTAATTGATCAGTCAACTGAACTGGGTCGAGAGTGTTGAGCTTCTATGATATGACCGATTCAATCTTTGTTGCTCCACACCTGCCAACAGGAAGTTCTAACTAGTTTTGAAACGTTGAAGCTTCAAAATATAAAATATATGTTTAGAAACATATGCTTGTGATCAGAAACAATGACAAACAAATGGGTGAATGCAGCTCAGTGATCATAGGAAGATTTTATATTGGAATCAGTTTTACTCAAATGAGATCGTGTATAAACAAGAATCCAAAACAAAGAATTTCAACTCATTAACATTTATATATCATATCTTTGATATGTATACAGACATTCAAACTGGAGTTATGAAGTTGACTGGCAATTCTGTTTTCATGAGACTTTCAACAAGATCACAAACAAGTTCTGGAAGGCATCCGGATTGAAGGAGCTGCAGCAGCAATCATCAGCTGCAGTGGACGAGGGAACAGAACTTATGGCGACGTTTCCATTGACGAGGCACAGAAGTTGATGGTTCCTGTTTCATGAAACACGACTTCCCAACGTGAAATGACCGGGCTGTTAAAATCTCTCATATTTTGCTAGATTTTGTCCAGAAAAATCCTTTCCTTCTCGTGGAGTGGTTATCGGACATCATTCTAGACGATCCCTTTGAGCCAAAGGAGAAGTGCCGTTTCAAGAAAGGCTTTCCTGAGGAGCTTCTCATGCTAGAACTGGCAGACATTTTGGAACCTCTTTCAAGACGTGGATTGTTTTTGAAAGGATCGTTTGCAGTATAATCACCATCAAAACCACCATCTGCAATACAGTTTTTGGATCTCTTGTATAGACTCTTCCAGTCCATTTCAGCTTTAAGCGCCTTCTCGGATAGCTTCTGCGTATGCTTCTCCCCGAAGGTACAAACTGGACAAGCGGGGTCGTACTTGTGAATTTCAGGTGTCATACTCTCCAAGCAATCGGCATGATAAACATGTCCACAGGTTAGTATAGCAGCAACAGAAAGTTCATTGTTAGCAATAATCCTTTGGCTACTCCACGAGGATTTCTCGGTCAACAGCTTCAAGCAAACTCCGCAAGTTTGCAAATCAACTGAGGAAGTTGAAAATTGACTACTAGATCTGCCTATTTTTTCACCGTTAAAGCCAAAAGAGTCACTATCAAAAGACCACCTTTCTCTATGAGAAGTGGCCATGAGTTCTGAGAAAGCATGTACAGACCAACAATCTGAAGACCCTCCATGTGATTCCCGGACCGATTCATTGCTCCAAGAGGGAAGCCTTTGTCTATCATCAAAAGCTAAATAGCTACTTGGGGATTTTAATCCTCGGATTCGGCCGTCAGACACTTGACGCAACAGCTGATGTCCTGGGGATCGATGGGAACACCTTGTTAGGGATGAATTAGTTGGAGGCAAATAACTCTGTGATGACAAAGGAGATGTTGACAAAGATGAAGCTGAAGGCAATGAAAGTGACAAATTTGCAGGAGACTTATATGAAGCTGCGGGAGATTCTGTAGCCTCCTTCACCTGCTTGGAACAGAGAAAATTCATCTCGTGGACTAGGATTATGGGTTTAGAAAACCAGGAAATGCACAAAAAGCTCAACTGGAATAGACCTTATTTTACCTGTTCTAGACTCGCATCTATCGATAAATTCCTTGAATTTGATTGACCTGCCATGAACAAATAGATCATGTGAGACATGAATAGAATAAACAGTGGAGGTGCGTGGTGCTGAAACAAAGAATGAGGGTGGAGAGTGAAATGATTTGAGAATGGAGGTAATAATGGGATAGGGTAGGGCTTATAGGAAGAATGAGAGGGAGAATTAGTTGAAAGAGAGCAAGTGAAAAGGTGAGATTGAAAAAGAAGAAAAATAGCAATGCATCAAAGAGGGATTTCAGTTGGCCGTCAGGCTTTCGAACTTAACAAGGGACACCAACCAACCAGTCAGTTTTTATACAAGACCATAACTGATTTCATTTCATCACTCCTCAGAATGAACTATTGCTGTCATATCTTCATTTATGTTCATGCTTCAATCATTTTAAACAATAACACAGATCTAAATTCTTTGACTAATGAGATCGAAAATAAACTTTAGATAACAGAGGTTGATAATAAACTAACGAAGAGCTCGGTGCATAGAGCAACTGTGATGCATAATGATAAAAACATGAGACTGAAAAAGGGAAAATCAAATCAAGAATGTTAGGGGAACGAAATCGAGCTCATTATATTCTCAAATTAGAATTCAAGGATTTTTAAATCCTACCATCTGAATGCTTACCTGAACTAGGAGTTCTTAAACTATTAGTTGTGCCTTCTGGCGGTGGGGATTTTTGCCATGTACGTCGTCTACGGAGATGTTCGAATGGACTTCCATCCTCAGACGCATATGCTGACTCACACTTCGGCTCCACTCTATCATTGCGGCTAACACTATCAGAAAACCAACTTATTGAAGTCTCTTCACCTGCTACCCGTCCACGATTATCCCATCGAAAGCTCCAATTAGGCGAATACCTTATATTCCTACATAAGGTTTCACTCCCAGATCCACTAACTATAGTCTTGTCCCTAGCCGCAACACAACAAACAGACCCCATGCTGGAGAAGGACCAAGACTCAGGTTTTTATGACTTCGCCACACGAGTTCCCAAAGCTCTTCAAAATTAGAACTCTGAGAATAACCCCAGCACCATGCCTCTCAAAAAAATACCAAAACTGTATTGTGTCTAAATTCATGATAAACAGAACAGAGTTATCATAAGATAAGATTATAAGGCCAAGGACATTTCAACATACAAAAATCTACCCACAAAATATAGAGCACCACCCAATATTGTCAATGCAATAACATTCGATAAAAAAAGCTCGAATCCAAAATAACAATACGAACCTTTTCGAGCTAGAATAGAATAAAAACTAACGTGCTTCTGAGTTCAGAAAAGAACTCAAGCACAGAATGAATAAGAACCCTTAACGAACAACACAAAAGAGCATCTCCGAAACTGCAGGCATAAAACACAGATACCCAAAAGTTACCCGATAGAGAATGCATTCTTGGATTTTCATTTCCAAACAATAATACGATCACCACAACACAAGAATGTCAAAGTTCAGATTGAAATCCTAACTTCTCCTAGTTCCTTAAGAAAACCTTCCAAAAAAAACCATCCTCCATTATAACGCGTCAACTTTCTAGCTTCCACAAAATGAGTTTTGGAACTAATTAATCACAGTGACTGAAAAACACAACCGCACAAAACCAATGGACACGGATTCGGTTCAATCTGCGAAATTTGTGGAAGCTATGAGTAAGTCTAAATCAAAAACCCTAAAATTAGAATCCAAAAAAGAAAACAGAGAATCAATCACTTACACAAGTCAGCGAGATCCGAAAAATTAGCCAAAAATACGCAAATAAATCCAACCAAATGTCACCAAAGAAATAAAGCCAAATCCAAAGAACAAAAACACAAGAATCACACCCAAAAAAAAAAAAAAGAAAAAAAATGCAAAACCCCAAACTAATCGAAACAAACAAACAAAACCCTCATTAGATTCCGAAACTCAATTAGTTCAAACAAAAGCAATCAATGCACCGAAATGATCTAAAACCGTACCTTCAGAGAGAGCCCAATCTCGAACTTGAAAGAGAGAGAAAAAAAGGAGAGAGAAAGGGTTTTAGAGGGAGAAAGTGGAAGTGAACCTGAAGCTGGGTTTTCTTCCTAACACAGAAAGACTGAGAGGGGCTCGTTCCAAACGGTTTAATTAACGACGTTAGGTCATTTGGGGGAATCTTCCACTACAGTGACGTTGGATGTTAACGGTGCTTTAACTTTCCGTCTTGATGTACGGTCGTTACTTAGTGGGCTTTTTTCCCCTAATTATTATTTTATTATTATTATTATTATTATTATTTTTTAAATAAAAATTCTTAAAAAGTATGCTTTAATAGCTGTGTACTGAAGCACTATTGCTGGTACGTACATTAGGAAATTTCCATTTTAATAATTAAATAAAAAAAAGTTGGTTCAATCATGAGCATTAAAATTTTAGATTAATAATTATATCAGTTTAAATTATATTCTTTTGTAAATTAATTAAAATTTTATGAGATTTTAGTTATTAATGTAACATGTATTATGCCTGAATAGAATTTTTTTAAATAATTTAAAAAAAAAAAAACTCGACAACTCAACCCAACTTGAAAATAGAGAATTGGGTTAGGTTGTGGACTTTATTCGTGTTGCTCGGGTCACCAACCCAACCAACCTAAAATTTCGGGTTAATCCAAAAGATTTCTCCAACCCAACATTACCCAACTCGTGTAGACTCCTGGGTAAGGGTAGGATTCGGTTAAAAAATCATTTTATAACCATAGTTAATGAGTAGCTCATGCGTCTTAGTTTGTAGGGCTTCCATAGGTTACAGACCATTACCCTTATTATAGTAAAGGCTCGGTTAGCTCATTTATATTGTCAGAGTCTTTCCTCTGGTTCAATTCAATCAGCTCGTTTGAGCTCATCGTAAATATAGGAGAGCTCAATTATTGGGTTCAGATAGTGTAGCTTATTTGAGTTTATCTCGACCGATCTAATGAATATAATGATTAAGAATGTTTAAAAGAATCGATAGTTACTACTTATACAAACAAGACGTGTCTTTCATTTCGGAAGCTCAATCAAATGAACTCGAAAGTTAAGCGAGCATAAGACTTTTTCTAAGAAACACGTGAATGAGAACAAAGAAGCAGTTCGAGACACATAGACAACGTTGTCCTGTTGTAGAGAATATCGGGACAATCAAGTGTCAAATCTCGATTCCAAACATCGGGAATAATTAGAAACAAAATTCAAACCTCGAGACTAAACATCGTACTATAAAACGCTCAAAAACCAAATAAAAATTAAACTTAAATCTCAACGACCAGATATAATAGACGTTACAAAGCTTTATATTGATATATATGTGACGATTATACACTATATTATATAATATGATAATACATTATACTTATATATATATACTTATACTATGAAACACATGATATATTTGTGATTATTTATTTATAAGCTAAGGTTTTTGATATCAGTTGGGGATGAGCTTGAAAGGAGGCTTCACAAAAGCTGGAGCTGGATCATACCTTCCATAGTCCCTGGTGTTTACCCTCAAAACCCTTTCATGGATGATTTCCTCCATCTTCTTCTTCCCATCCTAATATAATTATAATAAAGTTCAAAACTTTATTCAAAATCACTTATTAAAAATGCTCGTATGCTCGTTTTAGGGTTTAATTCTCGGGTTCATTGCTTCTACCCATGAGTTGGGTGTTTTCAAAACCCGAGCTAAGTTTTGAAGACTAAAGATAAGTAGTTTCTTAACCTCGATGCGTTTTAAAACCATGAGGGGAAGCCTGGAAGGAAAAGCCCAAAGATGACAATATTTACTATCCGTGAACTTGGACCGGTACAAATGGGTATTAGAGCCAGACAACAACGGTGTGCCAACGAGGACACTGGACCCCTAAGGAGGTGGATTGTGAGATCCCACATCGGTTGGAGAGGGGAACATAGCATTTCTTATAAGGGTGTGGAAACTTCGACGTGTTTTAAAACCATGAGGGGCAATCTGGCCCAAAAAAGACAATATCTACTGGCCCAAAAAAGACAATATCTACTAGCAGTGAACTTGGACTGTTACAAATAGGTATCAGAGCCAGACAACGACGGTGTGAGGACGCTGGACCTCTAAGGAGGTGGATTGTGGGATCCCACGTCAGTTGGAGAGGGGAACAGAGCATTTCTTATAATAGTATGGAAACCTCTTCATAGTAGACATGTTTTTTAAAACCTTAAAATCTAAAAAGAACAATATCTACTGGTAGTGAACTTGAATTGTTACATTTTCAAATATAGCTGGGAATTCAAATATTTTTATAAGAGAGATAAAATTCATTACCGACCCAATTTGATTACTCGTAACGAAAGGGTTGTAAAGACCTAGCGAGGAAACCGACCCACCGACCCATTTTGATAACTCATAATGAAAAAGTTAACGAGAATAATAAAGATTATCGTGTAAATTTTCAATGAAATACGAGCACATTGAGATTGAGATTATGAACCATCGAAACAATTTTATTAACGTATCTAATTAGTTGAGTTATATTTACGTTAGCTACGGTCGAACAAAAATACAAACCTCATGCACGACTCTACCGTTACTGCCCTGATGAACCGGCTTATCAGCTCGACCTTCAACCACAAAGACAGCACATCAGAAAAGCAGCCAGCTAACCCAAAAAGCACTTTTCAAGTAAGCATTGACGAACAGCTCAGTTACCAATGAAAAAAAAAACACAGAACCCTTAATTTGCACCATTAACATGTTACGCATGCAAATAAGATTCTCTTTAGTTGTGTTTTTTTTTCATTAATAAGGTTATCTTTAGTTGTCGGAAAAAAAAAACATGTTCGAATGATTAGTGTTTTTTTTAAAAGTGTTCTAATGCTACTTCTTTAGAACACTTTTCATTTGACAAATTAGCTTTCAAAAACATCCTTGTCAAAAGATACGTCTTCATAGTTGAGTAATAGTTAAGTAATTCTATCACTAACGACTTAAAAGACAACACAGAGCGAGAAGTACAAGTGACATAGACAACGTGTCTAGTTACACGATCATGACTCAACTAGTTAAGACATGTATTCTTGACTAAGATATCAGAAGTTTGAATCTCTTATGTTTTAAAAGACATATATAGACAAAGAACGTGATTGTAACATAGTTTTAAAGAACGATTAGATTAAACTACTAAATCCCGTAATGAATCTAGAAGCTTAGATAGATAAGTTAGACCTGCTGAGCAAATGGTGGATAAAAACGAGGCCGAAACGAGGAGGAGGACGAGGATGAAGTTGAGCTTATACTTGAGAAGCATGACTCCGATACGATAGAAACAACCTTACGATCGTGTTTTTCTTCTTCTTCTTCTCTTGTTTCTCGAGCATAGACCCGAATGAAGCTCGCTTAGGTATGATTTATGGGACAATGAATTGGACAAAGTGATGGGGTCTTATAGATAAGCTAAAGGATGGCTATTAATTATAAACAATATCATTTGTGCACTTGCTTTAATGCTTTTGAGTTTAAAATTCAAATGAAAAGGGAGAAAGAAACCACTTTTGTTTTGTTGGTGCACTAAGTCCTAACAAGCTTTAGTGGATCTTAAGATATGTATAATAGGGTATTGGCTGCACTTGAAATTATCCCATTGCCCTTTCAAGTGTTTGAGAAAACAAAAATCAAAATTTAGGGTTTGGAACAAAAGTGTAAGTGGCTCTTAAGAGCGGAAATACGTTTGAGCTAGTCTAAGCTTACTGTAGGTAGATATTGTCTTCTTTGGGCTTTCCCTTTCGAGCTTCCCCTATACGTTTGAGCTAGCCTAAGCTTACTGTAGGTAGATATTGTCTTCTTTGGGCTTTGAGCTTCCCCTATACGTTTGAGCTAGCCTAAGCTTACTGTAGGTAGATATTGTCTTCTTTGGGCTTTCCCTTTCGAGTATACGTTTGAGCTAGCCTAAGCTTACTGTAGGTAGATATTGTCTTCTTTGGGCTTTCCCTTTCGAGCTTCCCCTATACGTTTGAGCTAGCCTAAGCTTACTGTAGGTAGATATTGTCTTCTTTGGGCTTTCCCTTTTGAGCTTCCCCTATACGTTTGAGCTAGCCTAAGCTTACTGTAGGTAGATATTGTCTTCTTTGGGCTTTGAGCTTCCCCTATACGTTTGAGCTAGCCTAAGCTTACTGTAGGTAGATATTGTCTTCTTTGGGCTTTCCCTTTCGAGTATACGTTTGAGCTAGCCTAAGCTTACTGTAGGTAGATATTGTCTTCTTTGGGCTTTCCCTTTCGAGCTTCCCCTATACGTTTGAGCTAGCCTAAGCTTACTGTAGGTAGATATTGTCTTCTTTGGGCTTTCCCTTTTGAGCTTCCCCTATACGTTTGAGCTAGCCTAAGCTTACTGTAGGTAGATATTGTCTTCTTTGGGCTTTCCCTTTCGAGCTTCCCCTATACGTTTGAGCTAGCCTAAGCTTACTGTAGGTAGATATTGTCTTCTTTGGGCTTTCCCTTTCGAGCTTCCCCTATACGTTTGAGCTAGCCTAAGCTTACTGTAGGTAGATATTGTCTTCTTTGGGTTTTCCCTTTCGAGCTTCCCCTATACGTTTGAGCTAGTCTAAGCTTACTGTAGGTAGATATTGTCTTCTTTGGGTTTTCCCTTTCGAGCTTCCCGTATACGTTTGAGCTAGTCTAAGCTTACTGTAGGTAGATATTATCTTTTTTGGGCTTTCCCTTTCGAGCTTCCCCTATACATTTGAGCTAGTCTAAGCTCAGGGCTTTCCCTTTCAAAATTCCCCTTAAAGTTTTTAAAACATGTCTATTAGAGAGAGGTTTCCACACCCATATAAAGAATGTTTTTTGGCCCAACGTCCTCACTGGCACACCGTATGGTGTCCACCCCCCTTTGAGGCTAACCTCCTCGCTGGCACACTGCTTGATATTTGACTCTGATACCATTTGTAACAGCTCAAGTTCACTGCTAGCAGATATTGTCCTCTTT